GAAGAAGAAGAAGAAGAAGAAGAAGAAGAAGAAGAAGAAGAAGAAGAAGAAGAAGAAGAAGAAGAAGAAGAAGAAGAAGAAGAAGAAGAAGAAGAAGAAGAAAGTTGGAACGGACCTTGGAGGTCATCCAGTCCAACCCCCTGCTCAGGCAGGAAAGCATATATACCATTTCGGACAAAATCACTGCCTTTTCATTAGCACAAACCACCATTAACTTAGATTAACTTAGTCAATTTAAGAAAGCTGGGCAGCGCTTGCTTTGAAGCCAGCTTTTTAAGAGTCCAAACGGACAGAGAGAAGACTAGGAGAAGAAAAAAAAGAGAGAGAAGTATTTAGAATTAGGAGCGTTTTTCTTACCTACATAAAGCCAACGGAAAAAAGCCTTGAAATTTTTCATGCTGCTGTCTATAACTCTGGGGGGAAAAAAGAGAGAGAGCAGAAATGATTCTTTAATGTAAGGGGGATTCCTCCCCGGCCGTTGGGATTTATTTCTACCAATCATTCGCAGGTCGGCCTCAAGTTACGGCCACAGTGGAGCCGAAATTTTATGCTGCTAAGCGAGACACCTTTGCAAAGTGAGTCTGGCCCCATTTTGCCATCTTGCTTGCCACAGTTGTTAAGTTAGTCATTGACTAACTTGTCAGAAGGTCGCAAAAGGGGACTGTGTGATCCCAGGACGTTGCGACCGTCGTAAGTATGAACCAGTGGCCCAGCGGTCGAATGTTCATCGTGCGATCGTGGGGGACGTTGAAAAAGTCCTAAGTTTGCAACGATGGCGAATATCTGGAAAATATTCGCCACCGAATCTGCACTAAGTCCTGCTATAAATACTTCGAAACCTCCTCCCAGAGGGGAACAAAAGAAACAGACCATGAAGTGAGGTGTGTGTGTGTGTGTGTGGGATGGTCTCTAACAATTTTTTGAGCTCTAAGCACATCTGAGCGCTTATAAGCAGCATGCTGAATACCAGGCAACGAGCGTCCTATGATCTTCTCGCTGTCCTCACCACTCTCTGTATGATTGGGGGGGGGGGTTGCCAATCCTTTCAATGACTTACTGGAGAAGTTCGTTTGCTTTCAGAATGAAGGAGCCGACCGCAGTGATGGCGTCTGGAAAATGGAGAATAAATGTGAAATAAAGGCCGACTGAAGGCGCTCTCCACGTCGAGCCAGCGAGAAACGACGCACTTACCTTCTATGCCCGATGCGTCCAGCCCAAGGGACTCGTACTTCTGCTTCCACAAAGCCATGCCTTTCAGCTCGCTTAAGTGGTATAGCAAGGCCTCCGAGCCGCTGTCAAAAGCAAAGCGTGAAGCCCATGAGCAGAGGTGGAAAGGAAGATCCGTCAGGGTGCCAAAAGCAAGGCGTAAAGGCCGGGAAGGGAAGAACGCACACACACACACACAAAATTGTGAATTTTTTTCTTTCTCCTCCTGGACTCTGTCTGACAGACTGAGAAAACAAACCAACATGGAAATAGGTTTATGGGGTCTTCGCTTTTCTTTCTCTCTCTCTCTTTCTTTCTTCTTTCTTTCTTTCTTTCTTTCTTTCTTTCTTTCTTTCTTTCTTTCTTTCTTTCTTTCTTTCTTTCTTTCTTTCTTTCTTTCTTTCTTTTTCTTTCTTTCTTTCTTTCCTTTCTTTCTTTCTTTGTCTTTTCTTTTTTCTTTTTCTTTCTTTTCTTTCCTTTCATCTTTCTTTTGCTTTCTTCCTCCTTTCCTTTCCCTTCCTCTCCTTCTTCCACTTCTTTGTCCCCCTCTTCTCCTCCCCTCTTTTCTTCTTCCTTCCTTCCTTCCTCCCTTTCCCTTCCCACCTCTTTTCCTTCTTCCTCACTGTCTTTTCCTTTCCTTTCCCTTCCTTCCTTTTTTCTTTTCTTCCTCTTTGCCTTTCCCTTCCTACTCCTCTCCACTCATTCTTCGTTTCTTCCTCTCCCCTCTCCTGACTCTTTCCCTTCCTTCTTTCCTTTTTTTTCTTTTCTTCCTCCTTTCCTTTCCCTTTCCCCTTCTTTTCTTCTTCCTCTCCTCTTCCTCTCCTTCTTTCCTTCCTTCCTTTTGGTTTTGCTGTGTTACTGAGCCCTCTATTCTGATGAGAGTGTAATTTTTTGAAACAAATCATTANAAGATAGATAGACAGAGAGACAGAGAGACAGACAGAGAGAGAGAGAGAAAGAAAAAGAAAAAGAGATAAAGATATTTAAAAAAGAAGTTTTAGCCTTCCTGTGGAGTTGATTTCTTGGTTTGGTCTACACAGCGGAGCTCACAAAACAAACCAACCTAGGAACAGGATGGGAGTCAAATAATCACATCCTGCCGGTGAATTTCCAGAAGTCGTTGGCTGAATAGCTTCAAAAGTAGCCTCTGACGGTCTCATCTAAATCAGGCCTGGAAAATTCTTAACAACGTCCGTGAGAACTCAAAGGACCACTCAATTGGAAACACCCGGCCCTTCCACTCACCTGGAAGTAGGTTATTTCCGGATCTCCGTCCGGACCGGTGTCTACTTCTGTCACAACTGAAAGCGATTTCAAGTCACTGGACAAGCACAAGGCCAGGCAGGAACCCCTCACCTGGAACAACAGGGTGACAAAATGATAAACCACATTTTCTTCATTGTTAAAAACCGTTCACAGCGCAAGCGGTTGAATTTGTCTCTCTTCTTATCTCAGTCATTAGGGATTTGTCATCACTGATCAAAACTTAGTAGTTTTGTTTTTTTTATAATATTTTATTAATTTTCCATTTTTATATTTGAATATTTAAAAAGCAACGTGGTGACTGGGTTAATCAGTAGTTCAATAACAAAATCTTAGTGCAAATCTCAGGTTATAACATCAAATATTTCTTCTCTTTTCCCCTTAACATTTACTGTCTCATATTCAGGTTAGTACATTTCTAATTAAATATTATGAATATGTTTGATTTATTGATTAACCCAGGCAATTTATATATAACGGTTTTGATTTATTAAAGGGGATATTGTGGGATTAGGTAGATGATTTAATATGGTGGGAAATAGATAACTCTTAGGAAATAGAACAAGATTGTATTAAAATGTGTATTTTGGATATTATAGTTTGCTATGAAGTGAGATAAGGGAAATTTTGGCCACCCAAAGTCTGAAAATTATAAATATCAAAGGTTAAATTGGAATATTGATAAGAAATTAAAAACTGAGTAAAAATCAATAACAGGATATGGATTGTTTATGAAGATTGAATGTAATTAAGATATGCGTAAGCTAAAAAAAATATTGATAAATGTAATAATGATGTTCTTATTGAGTTGATATAATTAGAAATGTACTAACCTGAATATGAGACAGTAAAACTTAGTAGTTTTAATCAGTGATGACAAATCTGTGAGTCTTTATTCCTGTCTTTATTGTCTATTCTGCTGTGTTGAGAGGTATAGACAATCCTCAACTACGAACGTTACTGAGCCCAAATTTAAGCGAGATATTTTTAAGTGAATTTTGCCCCAATTTAGGATCTTCCTTGCCACCGTCGTTAAAGTGAATCACTGCAGGAGTTAAGTTAGTAACACGGTTGTTAAGTGAATCTGGTTTTTCTATTGAGTTTGCTTATTGGAAGGTCGCCCAAGGGGATCATGTGACTCCTCTGGGACACTGCAACCGTCCTAAGTACATGCCAGTTGCTAAGCCTCTGAATTCTGATCCCGTGACCCTGGGGATGCTGCAACGGTCGTTAAGTGTGAACCCTTCTTTTCTGAAGAACTGAAGAAGCTTCTCGGGATGAGAAGCGAAATGTTTTCAAGGGGAAAAAAAGAACCAAGAAAGACCAGCTGACTTTTGGAAAAGCATCTTGGGGATTCTGAACGCAATTTTACTTACTACCACCCCCAGCTGAACAAGTGTGAAAGTGGAACCACATACCCCTGTTATCGTCGCAATCTTGTACATTCCATAAGCATAGATCTCAATGAAGCCATTGACGCCTCCGAGAACGAGGGCATTAAGCCTACATAGAAAAGGATTTTTTTGTAAAAAAAAAAAGAGAGAGAGAGAGAGAAAGAAAGAGAAGGAGACAGAGAAAGAAGGCAATCATGGATGCAGTCAGGTTAGAAAAAAGATCTGTCAGGCACGTATTATCATGTTCGATGGACAGGTGACAAAGCAAACAACTATTGGAAAAAAGATACATACTTGGTTAGAAAAGACGTTAGGAGAATGTGTTGATTTTGAACCTGAACTTTTTTTTATTAGGTATAATGCCAGAAAAGACTAATAAACAAAGCTTATACTTGACTTTGCATGTTGCAATAGCGGCAAGAATATTTGCGCAACACTGGAAGAATGAAGGAATACCGTCAGATGAAGAAATAATTTAAAAAAAATACTAGAATGCGCAGAGATGGACAGATTGACTATGAGACTGAAAGAAAAAGAAATGGACTATGGTAACAAACTTGAGATTTATTTAACCATTGGCTAGAGGAAAGAATGCCCAGTGATATTTAACTCAACGGTCCCTTTTCAGCATCTTGGGTTGGAGTGCAAATGATACATTTTTACTACACACCCAGAAGTCCTACCCAGCCTACGTTTGTAGTCCAAACCCCCAAAGGAGGAGACCCCCCTAAAAGAGAATTTGTAGGAAGTTTTATTCCCTTCCTAAGCAAAACCTGCCAGCTTTCCTATTAGACACCCACAATCAGAATCTAATTTTTCCCCCCCTTTGGGGAAATAATAAAGAAGCACGGTTACCTGACGTCGCCCATGAGTTTCATAATTTCATCGGATTTTTCTTCACTAAAACATAACATAGTCAAGATCAGTTAAAAGAAGCAAAAATCAGGAACTTTTATTTTGGGTTTAATGGATAAAGACTTGGAGGGGGGAAATGGAACTTGGATGTTAGATACGTTGACAGCAGCAAGATTACTTTATGCACAAAAATGGAAGGACGCTTTGATTTCCCACAATGGATGAATGATGGAAAAGTTGATGGAGTTAGCAGAGAGGGCTAAATTGACAGCTTTGATTAAAGGGGGGGGGGAACCACAATTACTTTTGTTTCTACTTGGAAACCGCTTCTGGACTTTGTGCTTGAGGTGGGGGGGGAAACGAAACTTTGATTTTGAGTTTTACCGGCTAGACTGGTCTGTTGTTATAGAAATGGCTATGTAAAAGTAAAATAAATAAATAAATTGAGGTTGGATGCTATTATCTTATCCCACTACACCAAAGAGAGTCAGAAACCAATGCTTTTTCTTTCTTTTCCCCTAGACTTTTCCCTTTCCTTCTGCCTCCTTTACTTTCTCACTATTTTGTGTTTTATATTAGAAACTAGTAAAAAAAAAAAGATCAGTTAAAAGAAACGTATCTTGTTCTCCAAATTCTCAGGAATTAACAAACAGAAGATGAGTTTTACCTGAAAATCTTTGCTGTGGTGCTGTAGCTGCATTAAAAAGAAAGAAAGAAACAGAAGCAAATTCAGAGAGTGGTGCAAAAGTTAATTAAACAAGGGAGGGAGAGATGAATGGATGGGTAGATAAAACATCTTCATGTTCCCTGCAGTTATTAACACACAACATACAAGTAGCATTATCGTTTAGGATAAGTCAGGACGTATTCATTCTATTCCTGCTCAGGACTAAAGCAAAACTTCTTCTGGGCAATTCCATTCCAAGATAATCTGGAGATTTCCCCAAAAAAATGAATCTTCCAAACTTGACCTATAATCACGAAACTATCCCCAGAATGGTATGGTCCAAAAACATCTCTGACTATCCTTGTATCGGTGAAAAACCATCATGGATTTTAATAAACTGTTGCGAAGCTTGAAACACTATTTAACTCAACCAGGTTTATTCGGAGCCTCTGCACTGCCTGGGACAGGGGTAGGCAACCTTGGCTCTTTTATGACTTGTGGACTTCAACTCCCAGAATTCCTGAGCCAGCCATGCTGAGGGGAAAGGGAGAGGTTTCCAAGCTGAGCCATGCTAACTCAGGAATTCTGGGAATTGAAGTCCACGAGTCATAAAAGAGCCAAGGTTGCCTACCCCTGCTCTAAACTAATAAAGTCTACATTAATTAACATTCATTATGCTTTCATATGTTCCTCTAACTGAGGGGTCTTCAAACTTGGCTCTTTTATGACTGGTGGACTTCCACTCCCAGAATTCCTGAGCCAGCCACGCTGAGGGGAAAGGGAGAGGTTTCCAAGCTGAGCCAGGCTGGCTCAGGAATTCTGGGAGTTGAAGTCCATGAGTCATAAAGCGGCCTAGGCCTAGGCCAGAGGTAGGCAACCTTGGCTCTTTTATGACTGGTGGACTTCAACTCCCAGAATTCCTGAGCCAGCCATGCTGAGGGGAAAGGGAGAGGTTTCCAAGCTCAGCCATGCTGGGAGGAATTCTGGGAGTTGAAGTCCACGAGTCATAAAAGAGCCAAGGTTGCCTACCCCTGGCCTCGGAGTAAGCCCATTCTACTCAATAGGCTTACTTCTTGCATAAGACACGGTCCATAAAAAAACCCCACCTGAAATCATAAAACAGCCAACAATCAGGGCACAAATTCAGGTGTCTGTTCAACGTCGGAAACAGCATTCAGTTCTAAAAATGGCTTCCTTCAACTCTCAAAGGCTCGTGAAGCTGGCTCCGTACACACTTCCACAACCCCACTCTTCCCTCCCGACAACTTACTTCTTCGGCAACGGAGGCAACTTTGGAAGGAGAAGGCTGGATTCGTCTTCAGCGTTATAAAACGAAATGAGGACGCTGAAATGAAAAGAACAATTCTTGGATTTGGTTCCAGGAAGATCCTGGCGAAAATAAAACTACCTTTAGTTGTTTTTTCTCCCCCCCCCCCAACACGATTCTCTTTCTAGGTGTGTTAAGGTTACAAACGGTCACCAATGTGAAAAATGGTCATTAAATCCCTTTTTTTTCAGTTCCACTGTAACTTGGAACAGTCACTAAGGAAGCTGTTGTAAGCCGAGGACCGTCTGTATAAAAAAAAAACTGGAGCAGTCAGGAGACCAAAGACACGTCCCTAAATTGTGGGTTAGTGACCCTGATGGACAGGATGGTATGATCCAGATATTTGCCAATTCTAATTGTAGTCTGGGGACTTTTCTTTTAAATACAGGAAGGGCTGAATTACAGAGCTGAAATCCACATTTTGCCCATGGTCTGGAAGGGATCAAAAGGCCCTCCATTTTAATCATTCTTGTCCAGTCAGTCGGCTGGGCAAAGCCACAAAGGCCACGGACGAATCTTGACCTTCAACTCACCTGTTTTCCTCCGTAACTTCCATCCAGTACATGAACGTCAGCGGGACGCTGACCGAAAAAGAATGCAAACTCTCCGGCTTTTCCACGTCACACAGGATCACTTTCTTCGTATCGGCAAGCCCGAAAGCCAGAACTGCAAAAGCAATCGCAGGGGATTAAAAACACGCAAATGCGTAGATTGAAGACGCTTCCTGTCAAGGTCTGGGATCAACCAGGATGAGAAAGCAGAAGGACGGAGGAGAAAAGAGGAGAGGAGAGGAAAGACTGACTTGGTAATAAGGCGCACAGAAGGGGTTTATAATAATAATAATAATAATAAAGTTGGAAGGGACCTTGGAGGTCATCTAGTCCAGCCCGCTGCTCAGGCAGGAAACCCTATACCGTTTTGAAAGAGAAGGCCACACTTGGAATAACTGCGTCCAGTTTTGGTCACCACGATGTAAAAAACGATGTGGAGACTCTAGAAAGAGTGCAGAGAAGAGCAACCAAGATGATCAGGGGACTGGAGGCTAAAACATATAAGGAACGGTTGCTGGAATTGGGGATGTCTAGTTTAATGTTAGTGTGGGATCAGCCACAACTTCTGGTGGCAAGCCGTTCCACTGGTGAATTGTCCTCCCTGTCAGGAAATTTCTCCTTAGTTTTAGGTTGCTTCTCTCTCTGTTGTGCCGTTGTGACTCTGAGCGGTCACTAAAAGAATTATTATAAGTCGAGGACTACCTGCATAGGCACACACACACACACACACCTACAACTATAACAGGAGTACATATTTATTGGAAGTGGGAAATGTTCGAAAAGTTTTCAGCAAAGCTTGTTGGACAAGATGGGAAACTGTAGCAGGATGCAGGATAATTTTTCCCCCCGAATGCGTAACGCTTTCCTTCCAATCTGCCATGTTAAGAATTCTCCCACATGCAGAGGGTCTTCCTGCTTTGGGGGAAAATCCAGTCATTTCAAACGTGAATCTTTCATATAAAGTTTTATTTATTACTTTTGCCGTCTGGTCTCCAGGCCAGAGCGGATACTTCTTTGCCCGTGCTTTCATTCGGTGGCAAGCTCCAGACGCGCTGAAAGTTCGCCAGGCGGTGAAGCAACACCTAAGAAAAGAGAGGGGGGGGGGAATTAAGTCACGTCCACCTTCAGAAGGAAAGTGAAGTTCTACTAAAACTCTACTATAACTCAAGGTTATTCCTGCTGCCCATCGCAGGGAGAGGCCGCCGGTGGAATCCACTGCCTGGCCCGGTTCCTAAAGCATCTGCCACGGCAAGCAAATCGGAAATGGATTTGCACAATTTCTTTTATCCAAGAATTGCTGGAACCAGGTAAGAAAGAATCATCCAGATCAGGGGTAGGAAAGGATGGGCCTTTTATAACTGGTGGACTTCAACTCCCAGAATTCCTGATCCAGCAGGGGTGGGAAACTATGATCCTTTCACGTGGACTTCAACTCCCAGGATTCCTGATCCAGCAGGGATGGGGAACTATCATCCTTTTATGTGGACTTCAACTCCCAGAATTCCTGATCCAGCAGGGATGGGGAACTATTATCCTTTCACGTGGACTTCAACTCCCAGAATTCCTTATCCAGCAGGGATGGGGAACTATCATCCTTTCACGTGGACTTCAACTCCCAGGATTCCTTATCCAGCAGGGGTGGAGAATCATGGTCCTTTTACATGGACTTCAACTCCCAGAATTCCTGATCCAGCAGGGATGGGGAACTATGATCCTTTCACATGGACTTCAACTCCCAGGATTCCTGATCCAGCAGGG